AACAGATTGCGAGATATTTGCAAGATCGCTAAGGTCCATCCAGTGTTTAAGTGTGGGGATAAGTCAAATATTGAGAATTACAGGGCAATCTCTATATTATGCATGTTCTCGAAGGTCTTTGAAATAATTTTGTACAGGCACATTTACACTGCCGTCCAGCGTCAGCTGTCATTGCATCAGCACGGATTTGTTGCTAATCGCTCAACAACTGCAAATCTATTTATAATAACGCAGTACCTCTCGGAAGCAATTGATAGTAATGAGCAAGTTGACGTTATTTATACAGACTTTTCGAAGGCCTTCGATAAAATTAACCACGACAATTTATTGAACAAGTTAGGTGCACTTGGTTTCACTGATGATGCTAGGGAGTTGATGAAATCTTACTTATCCGATCGTAGGCAATTTGTTACCTATAATGGCTTCCAATCTGACACCTACTTAACGCCTTCTGGAGTTCCTCAGGGGTCCAATCTGGGACCACAACTGTTTTTGATATTTATTAATGGCTTCTGTCACTCAGTTGAATGTGAACCCCTATGCTTTGCTGATGACCTAAAAATTTATTCGCGGATAAATACTCCTGATGATTATATCAAACGACAATACCAATTAAATTTTTTGATGTCTTGTTGTGTAGAAAACAAGTTGGACCTTAATGTGAGGAAGTGTAAAATAGTCAGCTACACCGGGAAAATGAATGTTGGCGAATATCCGTATTCTATTAATGTGTTTGTGCTAGAAAGATGCTCTGATGTACGTGATTCAGGTATAATCTATGATCAAAAGCTAACTTTTAATTAGCATATACATAAAAACAACATCAGAAGCTTTTTCGGCTTATGGTTTCATAGTAAGGAATTGCAAGGAACTTTCATAACATAAAGTCGATTAAGCTATTACATTATGCTTATGTTAGATCCAAAGTCGAATATTGTAGCATCATCGGGAGCCCTTAAAATGAATGCTAAATCACAGCTATTGAAAGGATACAACGAAAGTTTATGAAGTTTGTTCTGCTTGGGATTGATGGGACATATCCAGAGAGAGGTACAAGTAATGAGGAACTATGTAGTCGCTTAGACATATTGACTTTGAAACAACGTAGGCACTGTGCCCCAATAATATCTGGCTACAAACTGATCAACAATTTAATTGATTGCCCGATGATCCTGGAAAAGATCAAGCTTCATACTCCAACGTTTGCATCTCGCAATCATAAAATATTCAGGCTTCCTAGAGCTAGGACAAAACATTCTTCTCAAGTCACCGTTGTATGTAATGTGCTCTAACTTATACAGAATTGGATGATACTGTGATATATTTACGACAAATGCCAATTACCTGCTAAAGGCAGGTAAGGCTTATTCAGACCAATAGGTACATGTCACTTATTTATACCTGTGTTGCACTTGTTGTTTTCTTTTCGCTTTTTTTTTGCTTTTGTATTATGTTTATAAACTGTCCTATAAATGGGAAACAGTTGGACAATAAAACTATTATTATTATTATTATTATTATTATTATTATTATTATTATTATTATTATTAAATTGTCGGCTATTCATAAGTGCTTTAGGGCTACGGTTCATATAAACCTAATTGAAGCAGCGAAAACACCAAGTTGTCAAAAAAGTTTGCAATCCTATATCTTCGAAGCTTTGAGTTTTTTTACAGGTTATAGGTCTTAAAAAATAAACAGTTTTTTCTTATACCATATACACCATAGTCTTAAGATTACCAGATGTTACGCTTCGCAAAATAAATCAAACCTGAAATCGGACGATGCACATCAGTACTCAACCTAAAGTGATACACACATACAAGGATACAGGAGCTGTCCGTATTATTTTAATTTTCGGTGAGTGTCTTCAAAATGCTACCGAGGCTTCGCGGGTACATGATTGTTTTTCGGAGAACCTTCATGACTTCCTTTTTTGTTTGGGGTGGAACGAGTACATATATAAAACGGAGGTGGACACGCTTGATACCCTGTGTATGACTTCGGCAATCTGTTGCATTCATTCAGGAGAAGCATTCCATTCTTAAAACGTACACCGATGCTTGACTACGTCCAGCACATACATGTGTCTTTCAATCTATCTCAGCCAACTTTGAACAATACTTACAAGTCACAGAGCTGTACTTAAAATTTCTTTTCAATGAACAGTGAGCAGTTTTTTATTTATTTTTTTTTTACTTTTCCGCTGTTGTCTCTTCTTTGTTACCTCAAACGTACTTGTTTCTGAAAAGGAAACTCTTAACTCTCAGGACACCCTATACAGGGTTATCCAAATTAAGTGTCCACCATTAGTAACTTTGTTATTAGTGAAAATACAAAGTTGTTTGAATTAGCAAACTAGTAGCATTTTTAACGCTGGTAAAAATGAGAAATAAAAAAAAAACAATTGAGAGTCGTTATTTTGATTTTTTTCAGTAAAATAACATTTTTTTAAATGGAAACCCCTGTATATTATATTTTTTTCTGTTAAAGCATCAAATTTTAAACAAAAAAGCTTACAATAACTTTTCTCCTAGGTTACAAATTGTTGAAGTTATGGCCTCCAATCTGAAACAATTAAATTGTATCGACAAACTTTATTTTCAACATCAACTTATAATCTTACAAAATACAATAACAATTTTTTTTAAAGAAGATGCTCGAAAACACCACCTTGTTCTTCAATACATTTTTGGGCACGTTTTTCAACTGCTCGAACTGTCTTAAGTATGGTCCTACCATCTATCTGGGTTATCTTTTCCCTAACTGCAGTCTTTAACGCGTCAAGGTTATCGTACCTTCGCTTGTAAATTTGGTTCTTTAAGTAACCCCACAAGAAGTAATCAAGTGGGTTTAGATCTGGTGATCTGGGAGGCCACTGTATTTGTTCCTATCCACTGATCATTAAAAGTAGTACTTAGAAAATGATAAGTACCTCTGGAGTTGTGGGCAGGTGCGCCATCTTGCTGAAAATGCAGATGATGTCTACTTATAAGATCCAATTCGTCTAAGAAATTAGTCAGAATTTCTGACATAAATTCCACATATCTTTCACCAGTTAGGGTTCCCTCATAAAAGAACGGGCCAACAATTTTTGAACCAATTATACCGCACCAAACGTTGAAACTGAAACGGACTTGTGGGCCTCTTGGATGTACTAACAAAAGATTTTCTCTTGACCAATAATGGTGGTTTTTTCTATTAAACATTCCAGAATTTGAAAAATTTGATTCATCTGTCCATAAAAGGTAACGAAAGTTATTTACATTTTGGCGACAGAAGCTAAGATACCAATGGCAAAAAACAAGTCTTCTCTCTGGATCCCCTGCCAAAACCGTTTGAACTGGTCGGTACTTATACGGAATAAATTTGTATTTTTTTAAAATCCTTTGAACAGTACCATAACTGAAATTAGAGTCCTTGAGAATATCTGCTATTGAATTCTCACGATAAGCTTCAAAATATCCAATAACTGCAATTTCCGTGGCCTCGCTTATTATGAATTCTTTTTTTGCCCTTGTTTTAGCAAAAACATTTTCGTTGCCCCTAAATTTTCGATAAAGTCTCAGAAAATATCGTTCATACGGTTGAATGCGAGCGGGATATAATTCACTGTAGTATTCTCTTGCTCTCAAGGAGGATTTTCTGCATACTAAATAGCATTCTAACATATCACACTTTTCTTCATGGGAGAACATTTTTCTTTAAATTAATGACACAATAAAGCTTATAAACAAGTATTTACACTAATGTTTGACATTATTTGATTTTATCATTGTTTTCCAAAGCCTTCTAGTTGCGAGTATGTCCAGTTTAACAATTTGTCGCTTATCTTAATGCTGTCAAATCGCGAACGCCATGTTGTTTTCATAGCCGTCTTAATATTATAATACTGCAAATAATTAAAAATATTTATCGTTATTTTGACTATATTTTTGACTTTAGCGGAAAAGTCATTATGAACTTTTTTGTTTAAAATTTGATGCTGTAACAGAAAAAAATATAATATACAGGGGTTTCCATTTAAAAAAATGTTATTTTACTGAAAAAAATCAAAATAACGACTCTCAATTGTTTTTTTTTATTTCTCATTTTTACCAGCGTTAAAAATGCTACTAGTTTGCTAATTCAAACAACTTTGTATTTTCACTAATAACAAAGTTACTAATGGTGGACACTTAATTTGGATAACCCTGTATAGATAAATGGCTGTATACAACAATTCGTTTCCAATTCGAATCGCTTGTTGATTCAATATGTGATATTTTAGTTCAATGGTTTTGTGTAGTAAGATTCTAATAATAGTGCTCCAGCGCAATGGCTGAGCGTCAACCAGTAGGTAAAGCACTCATGTCCAACGAATATGTACTGAGTGACAAAAAAAAAAGGTAAACAGTTACGTATGTATATTGAGGTTCAAAAATTTTTTACATATCGATTTATCTTGCCATGAACAACAAGTGATAAAATGGTCAGGTTTTTCTGTTATGTTTTTGTGGTGGATGCGTGTACTGTTTGGTGATAAAGAAGCATTCTGTTTAGTGACTTTGAGAGGGGTCGAATTACGCAGTGTACTGCAGTGTGAACGAGCGTGGACTTAGGAAGGCCGACGACAGCGAGCCGGAGGTTCTGGGCATCCCAGAGGGACCACAGAGCGACAAGACCGCCGGTTAAGGGCTCTTGCACACGAACGTGCAATCCGCCGACCGGCTGTTCCACCGACCGGCAAGAAAATCGGAAGATGTTATTTTACCCACATTCGAATACAACTTAACACACATGCCGGTACCGGCTATTCTACCGACCGGCCGCCATTCATATTAAAATTTGGACAGCAGACACACGGCTGCCGGTCGGTAAATTAACCGGCGCGTTCATTTCAATGCATGCAAGTCTATGCCTGTTGACACACGAACGGGGATTCTACTGTCGCCGTGGTACAGAGTCGCAGTTTCATCTCCGTTTAGACAGTGTAGTCATGAGGTGCGAAATGGAAAATTTAGATATTGAGGCATTTATTTCTATGGTGGAAGAAAGGCCCCTGATATGGGACAAGACAAGAGAGGATTTTAAGGATAGGAATAAAAGTAAAGCCGCCTGGCAAGAGATCATCGATACATTTATTCATGAAAACCTGAACGAGGCAGAAAAAGCCGAAATAGGTATGTAACTATGTAAGATAAGAAACAATATTAACTATATTTTACTTAATTGCCACGGTACAGATCCTTCATTACTATTGAAATATTTTGTGAAATGGTCCCGTATATCTTTCCCGCTTCTTGATCCTCGCAAATTTCGCTCTCTTGGTATGTCTTCGAGGTTTATGATTTCTAAGACATCGCCGATATTAAAACCATCTCTCATTCGTACTAAATTTTGCAAGATACAACATGCTTTAACAATGTCAATGGCGAATTCGGGAAGTACGTTTATAGGTCGATGAAAGATTCTCCAGTTGCTAAAAATACCGAGTCCACATTCAACATAACGCCTGGCACGTGATAAACGATAATTAAATACACGTTGTTGCTGTGTTAAGTTGTTTCCACCAAATGGACGTAGCAATTTATCACTTAATCCAAAAGCCTCATCGCCAACTAAAATATATGGTACCGCCGGATTTTCTGTTCCTGGTAAGCATTTTGGGCAAGGTGTATACAAAGAATCTGAATTCAATGCATGAAAAAATGTTGACTCTTTAAATACGGATTAATCACATTCTTTACCGTATGCTGCAATGTCAACATATCGAAAACAGTATGATGTGTCCACAACAGCCAATAACACGATTGAAAAAAAAATGTTTGTAGTCGTAAAATAATGAGCCACTTCGTTGTGGCTTCACAATTCGAATGTATTTCCCATCTATCGCTCCGAAACAGTTTGGAAAATTGGCATTATTAGCAAATCCTGCTTCACATTCATTCTACATCTTTTCTGGTGGCGGTGGGATGCATCGCTATTCAGTGGTTTGAAGATCATGGAAGAATGGTTGGTATGCGTACAGTATATCGCCGAATACGACATTTTGATCTTTTTTCATATCGCCCTCATTGGGTGCTATCTCTCACAGCTGAACATCGGCGTAACCGTTTGCTCTGGTGTAGAGAAAGAGTTCTATGCTATGGAATAAAGTAGTGCTTTAGTAACGAATCTCACTTCTGTATGCGGCTGCACGATGATCGGACAAGGGTGAGAAGGCGACGTGGTGAAACAAGTGACAGAGAGCGTCACGTTCACGACACCGTGGGAGTTATGGTATGGGGTGCTATTGCTTATGGTAGCAGATTACCACTAATTTTCGTCAGAGGCAACATGACATCCCAACGATATGTTCAGGAGGTAATTGAGTCTCACGATCGCCTGTCCTATCTCCAATTGGATTTGTATGGGACATGATAGATCGCTGGCTCTTGAACTTGCAACACCTTACACAGACTTTAGCAGCTCTCACTCAGGCGTGTCAATGAGTGTATAAGAAATCGTGAATCCTCAACACATTATTGAACCAACTTCTGCAGTCGAATCAAGCTGAAAGTTTGTTCATTTTACTAGTAAGGGACACTGAACATATATGCCAAAAATTATTAAAATCGGATAAACATACGTCGGTGTTTACCTTTTTTTGTCACTCAGCATACCTTAATTCCTTATTGATGAGCATATTCCAATCATAACTCACACTTGAATACCTTTACCATCAATCGTAACAATAAACAAAACTCCCGACAGCGTCTACGACACAAACAAAATTGAGTGCGAACGTTCGTCCTCAAGTCCTCGGAGAGCGATCCGTGTATTTCGGTAGGAGGCCGACGGACGTAATTGGAGGATCGAACATTTATATGTGCATGTAAAATTCATGAAGACGTCACTTGTGAATGTAATATATGTTTCACCTTTGTAATTGACAGGACAGAGTGGGAACAGAGAAATGTTTATTGCGAATTGGCATGAAGCTCCGACTGAATTTTATTGGTGTACAAGGAGGACGCTAAAAATGCATTTTCACTGCTGGCTGCCGGTACACACGAGCGTCGAATTGTCGCGTTACAAAAAAGCACGCGTTCAGCATTAAATTTACGTAGATGAAAAATTTCACTCGCACTATCGACCTGCGCTTGATAAAACGTAGCCAGACAATTTGGGGACGCTCGTGTGTTATCATCGGAACGCGTCCCGTGTAAACACCAACGATTTAACGCTTGTACCAGCAGTTAGATAGATATCTTTACTATAGTAAAGAATAAACTTAGTGAGACAATGAACAAATCGGCCCTCATATTTGGTTCACTTGCAATGAACAAATCTCCTGTCTTCTGATTCTAGCGTGGTACTTTCGCATTAAAAGAACGAAGCTCCGTCCTTTCACGTGCTATCAAATCAAACGATTCTTGTCCTCTTCTGCTCAACTTCCGATTCTAATGAGAAAGGTACCGGAAGTTTTCTCAAAATCTTAAATAGTATATTTCTGATGTAATTCAACAATTCACAGGGCGGCCAGGTCCTGCGTGGACAAGAAGACACAACATATGGGCACACATACAGGTAATCGTCATTCTGAGCAACAGTCATCACAATCCGTCATCATGCATTCACATTGTTAAGTTGTTATGGAATACCAGTTTGTGAAAATTCAAGAAAAGGGTGTAAAGAAATTGTGTGTGGAGTACATCAACATAAACAAGTGAATTACGTCAGATGTCCCCTCGCCTTCCGCTCTTTAATTTTCAAAACCCAAATGGAGCTCAAACAAGGTGCCCCCTATTCAATTTTCAATTACCGGCAACTTTTTAGTTTTAAGTTCAATGTCTACCGAAAGTTACCAAATTTCGCACAAATCTACCGAAATTAGATCGACTATATCTGGCAACACTGCTTTCAGACGTTCGCTGTGTCATGAATCCATCATTTCTTCAGGAGACTAGAATTAATCCTACAAAAGATCAAAGACTAATTTCAGCAAATACATGCCTCTAGCTCTGTTTGCTGAGATCATCAAAGCAATGTATGTATATCAGTACCACGCTTGATTAGCAACAGGCAGTATAATTCCAGACACCAAGGATTAACCGACGACCTCATGGCTTTCGTCACAGAACTGTTCATTCAGCTGATTGATCCAGCCCGCGTCACAGTTTTTGGTTCAACAAATGTCGCTGTTGACTTCCTCTCCTGGCGTACGATATCTGCCATAATTTATGGGTTTCTTCTCCAACAACACAGGAACTTCGCAGGATCGGTAGATCAGCTTCACCATTATTTGTTGTTTTGAAAGGGAAGTCCAGTCCACAGATTTTAGTCTGATGTAACTTCAAACTCTATGGATGAGCCAAAAAGGAGAAGACTGATACGGACCTCCTTTTCGACAAGGGACTATTTTTGAGCAGAGTAGAATATAGCGCTCCCTAGGGAATGCCCTCTGACAGCTGCTGATGTTTGTCAAACAAGTTTGCTAATGCATCCATGTTTGGCAAAATAATGTTCCTACGTTCTATATAACATTAACCGTCTCATCAGAAAGTTGACACCGTCTTCAGAGATGACAATGATAGACGACGGCAAAAAATACACGCTTTTTCGCCCGAGTATGACTGGGTTAGCAACTCTTTTAACAGTGTTTGTTAATACAGTTCCTCGAGAAGAGATCCTACGCAAATTTTCTTCCAGTTATTCTACTCCCTCATTTCAAGAATAAGCGCCATGCAAATAAACTGCTTCCTCTTAACTCTCGTAAGCAATAGTGCCGTATTTTACGAGCTTTTTATGCCTACTAGATGCACTCGACAGGATTATGTTTCCAATTTTAACTTGATCAAACACTGTACATACTGCTGAGACTAGGGAAAGGTTATCGGTCAAACGTTATCGATACGTTTTCTGCTTCTGCTCCTCATTTTGAGGCTCCCCAGTCCTCGCATATATTCCTATGTGAAACATGCATCCGTAGTTCTCACATAGAAGAATATCGTTTGTTTTTCTAGACACAAACACAAAATTTGGGTATATGAAGGTAAAGTGATTAATAAATGGAGTCATCTTTCGATTTTTGTCAAATTTAAGTACTGTATTGCATGTATTTTTGTAGCAATTGAGGTCCATTTACCTGAGTGGATCTTCCTTCGCGGCTGCTCTAGGCTAAAAAATTGAGTGTTGAAGTCAGGTGGTAAATGGTACCCGTTTGCCAGGCTTCATGTCCCGATACATACTTCTGGGATATTCCTGTTCTCATTGATAAGAACAAAAAAATAAAAGTGGATTATTATGATTTATTTTTCATTCCTCTTCTTTGGAAAAAGTATCAAATACTTCATTTATTAGCTTCGATGAGCTCAAACTTTGATAGAGCGGTCGAAAATTCAATATTTTATTATGTACTGTCCACTGTTGTGACGATTTTTATACATAGTCGTTTACAATCGAATTATATGGAATCTCAACGAAAGTCAGTATGTATCAAACGGAATGTGTTCTAATCTAAATCTAAAGATATTTTTCAAGAGCTATACCTTCAATTCAAATAATATAGTAGCAACTTATTTTAATGCATTCAAAGATCGTCACTCCTATGGTGATGACTACTTTGGGCTTGACTCACCTAACTTCAAATCTGTTTGGTGTGTATTGTTAGTTAATTTACATGCAAATTATCTGAAATCTGCGGTTTTGGCGTGGTACGCTCAAAAAAATTCAGAAAATGGAAAATAAATCACAAGAACACTATGCCACCAACTTGGTAATTAATTTGATATTAGATAGTGTTACTTTGAAGCTAGTGTGAAAGCTAAATAAGAAACTCTACTAACTTTGTAAGCAATTGAAAAATAGCCATGGTCATGTCAGAAGAATGGCTCATAACTATTGGTCAAGACAACGCTGCACAGCACTTTATTGATATATCGGTCTTTAAAAATCCGAATAATCAACAAAACGTGAAACCATACTTATAAATGAGACACTTTTAGTATAGAAAATAAAATACCACTCAATGAGGACAAAAATTTCTCAATCTACTTTGCGTGACTTTCTGATATATCTTAACAATATTATTTGTACCTGAAACATTAATTCTTTGAAAATCACCCTACGCCGTAAAGCCAAAAAGAGAAAGTTTTGGTAATCACAAATACCGCGTGCGTAAACTTTGCGATGTGATGTT